CTCCCCATTCCCCTCCCTTTCGTATTTTGCAATCCCGTGGCTTCTATTCACGTGGCGCGCGATCCCAGCCATTTTGTCGTTCCGCAAATATGTACGGCGCGGTACGATCGCGTCGCGACAAGAGCCGTTCGGCGGTCTGTCGCCGAGATAATGGCGCAGTTATACCCGGTGATAGTTGTTTAATGATTTGCGATAGGTCGCCGCCGCATGGATAGCCGTGTTTCTTTTCCCCTTCGCCCATTCCGCTTCCCCACCCCTCATCGAGCGCTGTCCAGTTTCGCATTTCCGTGAATACGACTCTTTACGCCTCTCCGGCCGACATCGGTTCATTTCCGATTTCAAACGAATTGTTCGGCCAATTAACGCGCGTTGGAAACGCCGTACTTGAACATTTCGCTGTCAAAATACTAATCTTTCTCAGCGAAGTCTGGGTCGTTATTGAATACGAAATACAGAATTATAAATGCTTTGACACAGCGAATGCGCGGAAATAGATTGCAGCATTGTCCGATATGCGGCGGAAACGATAAAAAATTTTTTAATCGACATTTCTAGCCGCCAATAGTGGGAATTATTTTTCAGTTAAATTCAGAGACCTAAGAAGGTACGACAAGTTTGCAGGTAATTTTTATACATTTGATTAGATTTTCCGTTAGATACGATAAAATAGATTAGCATATACTATTCTGTTCTATCGTATCATTCGATTTATCGCATTCACATTTATATCCCACTTACAATTTAATTAAAATCTATGTGTACAAGATGTAGAGAAAAAGTAGGGTGATTGTATCAGTGTTTATGTGACCTAACATTTGGAAAATCTCCACGTTATCGACACTTGTCAAGTTTATCATTCCCTAAAAAAGATTTTCGATCATTTGAACTCGCGGAGGAACGTCGGATGTAGCGAGCTATCTCGGTTTCAACTTAGCGGAAAATATTACGGTGCGAATTGTGCTCAATGTAATATACTCACCGGCCGAATTCATTAAGAGACGCAGGTATAAAAAAGAATGTAACGCAGATTGTTATATGGCAAATTTCCGCCGCTTGGAAATACCACCGTGCAGATTCGCGCGTTCTACCTTCTTCACGTGCGCGCGTTCACAAAATCCTCTCCCGTAGGTCGTATACAGGTTTGCTTAACGGCCCGTATAAAGTTTACGAGCGTTCCGGCTGAAACGGCGGGAGAAATTTCTTTCGAAGAGATTCATTTCTCGGCCGAGACATGGGATCTCCGTGTCGGTCGTCTTAAAGTCCGCGTAAAAACGACACATACGACGCGGCCGCACAATCAATCGCTTATTAACACGAAACCCGAGCAACTTTCCGGCATTGCTGTATCGCCCGAGTCGACATTTTTGCCCCATGTTAAACTTTTAATTCTACAACGCAGCATTCATTCACAATTCATACATTCTCATATATAAGCAAGAATATATAAATCATATATGAAGATGATACCTGCTCATAGACGGAGAAATTTTAGTTCCTTTAAAGATCTCATATTCTTATTGTTCCAGAATAATTTTTTTAAATTAAGAAGAACAAATATTGGATAGAAAGAACGATGTCATTAAACTGCTACAATTCGTAGTTTAAAGTAGGTTCTTAGTCGAAGTAAGATTTTTCTCATTTATGGATCACCCAAGTAGGCGCAAACTATTGTTAAAAGCGTCGAGGCGGCGTAAAAATGTCGACACGAGCGGTGTCGCCAATGAGGGCACGAATGGAGTGACATCACGCGGTTGTATTTCCGTCGGTTTCGCGGGGGAAATCAGAGAATTATGGGATTTGTATGCTGACAAATTAAAAGGAACGCTTTCGCTGCTCGAACGAATTGGGATCCCGCTGTAATTCATCGTCCGCGCGAAATGTTGCTTTCGCAATAATACACCGCGTTCCGAAGAGCGGCGGGCAATCTGTAATAAAAGCTCGGGATCTCGGGGGAAGGGAGACAGAGGCAAAAGATTTAACGTTGTCGCGAAACAAAAAGGTCCTCTCGGCGGGTGTCTCCGCGCTCGTGGCCGCTGCGTCGCTCTTGAAATAAGCGGCGGCCCGGTAGTTTGCGGACGCGCTTTAAAGTTCTCATCAAGCGATCGAGGTCTGTAGGACACTTCTGTGTCTCATTGTTCCCTTTGTCTGGTGTTTACGCTGCTACGCGCGGGCATTGCATCGGCGTGCCTGGCGACGGCCCTCGGTGCTGGCGGTGGCGCGTCGGTGTCTCGGCTACGACGACCCCCTGCGAAAAGCACCGGGCGAGGGGAGAGCGGGGGTGAGCTCGTCGGTGTGCTGGGGAGAGAAGCTTTCATTAAGCTTGCATTGTCCCAGCACCGCGCTATTATAGCCGAGTGAATAACTTCGAGCCATCCTGGTAGTCGCACCGTCCCTCTCTCCTTCTCTCTCTCTACCTCTCTCTCTATCTACCTTCCACGTTATCTTTTTTTCATTCCTTTTTCCTGTCTCATATCCCTCCCTCGCATATCTCCCCGCTTCCCCTTTCCCCTCCGTGTTCCACTTCCGATATTCTCGCGTCGCCTCCCGGCGCGACCCTTCCTCACCCTTTCGCGTCACGTTCTCCGTCTCCCACCTTCTTTCGCGCAATTTGACGTATCCCCAATTTATTCCGCAACCTCGCCGAGCGGCCGTCCCGTTAGCGGTGGCGATATTAACGAGCCGAACGGCGATATAACGGCAATGGCAAATCGCTCGAACGACCACCCGCTCGCCCGCCCGTGCCAGGACATCCACTACGCCGGAGCGCCGTGGGTTTCCGTTCGTGGGGTTGCGGCGGTCCTCGGTGACGGCGGTGGTGGTGCCTTTTAACGAATACGACCGTGGCGGCCGTAAAATCTTGGCTGTCCCGTTCGTTAATTACTCGACCTCGTCGTACCTATACCTCGTTTGTTCGACGACGATTTTGATCCTCCCCCCGCGCCCCGCTGTCCTTCCCGGTCGTTGTGCCAACCCCGTGGGCTGTTCGGTCGCCCTATATACACACCGGGATATGCCTGAATCCCGTCACCCGGTCCGACGCTGGTCGTTAATGACGCGGAAGGGAAGCTCGTTGCGAACGCAGTAGGAGAGGGGCTGCGGGCGGGGAGGAGTGATTGCCGGAGGTTACGGCGCGCGGAAGCGCGCACCTGCGATGATTACGTTTGATTTCTAGAGGCACTTGATGCGTTCAATTATTTCCTCTCCGGATTTGCTTCTTCATTATAACGAGCAGCCCGATGGCTAACGCGATCCATTTTGCCTTTCGTCTCTTTCTCTTCTCCCCCCCACCCCTCTTTCTTTTGGTTCTTTCTCTTTCGGCGCTGTATTCGTACGATGATCTTTTCGCCCGATAACTCGGGTGTTAAGTATATCCGGAGAAGTGCGAATTTTGCTCTCATTGCTAAAGTTGTCTGTTAAGACAAAACACATTTGTTGCGAGGCACAGCTTTGTTAGCTAACGTTATTAGCATGAGTAAGATTGATTAGCTCTTTTCCTTCTGGTTATACCGTATATAAACACGTTTCTATCGATCGAAGGAGTGATGTTGTATCTAAAGTGATTGATTCACGATCAGAGGTCCCGAGGATTCGAGTTTGTGAGTGCTTAAGCGTGTTTTTCAAACACGATGTAGCCGCAACGCGAATAACCGATTAAATTTCAGGCAAAATCAGCATACACTAACACCACAAAGACAGCTTCCGTGAAAAAATAGCAATAACTTTCTAGTCGGCAATATGAATATGATTTTAATACTATTATGCGATCTAATATTTATCTGTAGCGCCCAAGTTCAAACAGCTAATAAATTTAGCCGCGATAGCTGTCATTAGCTGTATCTGCCTCAAAGACATACATTTTAACTGTCAATTAGGTTTTAACTCCTATGGCTGATTTTCTCTCCGAATTTATCACATGGTGATGAATAAGTTATTAGATGAGACATAAAATAGAAGTTCTCGGATTGACATTTATATCATTCTTCACACAATTTAATCAGAAATTAAACGATAAATTTATCGCGAGACGTCAAAAGCGCGAGAAAAGATAAATTTCGTCCCGACCTGATTTGATTTCCAATTGCATACTGGACGTTGATCGAAAGTAACGATAGTGTCGCGACTGGACGGATTCGCTGTCGCGAATTATACCGTTGGTAATCGAACTATCGTCTTGAGATACTATTTACTATCTTTGTCCGAGGATTGGCTATTTTCATGCGCGTAAAATTCAATCTGCAGCTTGCCAATGTACATCCGCAGAGAGAATGCACGGAGAGCGTCTTCCTCGTGCAAAGAATGACTTTCGAATGTGCAGAAACCGGATTACGTCGGCCAATACATTTCAGGATTACTGCGCAGAGATCTTATTCGAAAATTGCGAACTACCGGGCTCGCGGAGTCGCTATTACTCGCGAAATAAGATTGCAACTCGCAGCAATCGTCCGCGACTTTCCGAATTGCTTATTAAACGACGCTATTCTCATTCTGAATTTCATTAGAGGACTCAGCTAGACGAACGCTAAATCTTCCAGCAAGAGCGGAATAACGCCTACTTAATTCCGCCCGGGTCAGGAAGGAGTTCTGCGCCGGTGATTTTATCGCAATCGACGAAGGTCGAACGATTGACTCTGATAAAAATAAGATAAACTTAGCCTCGTTATTCGTACGCAGTATTCTTCATCCTTTTAGTACACTTACTTTTTGCTACTTAGTTCGTCACACCTGGCCCGTGAAACCAGTAATTTTTCTGACACGCTTTTATTTAAACATCTCTAAATATACTTATTCATAGCATACAGATATTATATACGGCAAAAGGTGCAGTTGCATCGATCAATTGACGAAATCGCATCGAACGTCACTTTTATTCGATTTGCGCCGTAACGCGCCGCCATACTCAAATTACACCCACGTCTTTTTCCAATGTTTCCGTGAAATCTTGGACACGCCAGAACGCGCTGGTATTGGCACTGTCACTAATTGCTTAATACCTGTTTCAGATACTCCGTCGTTCGCGATAACGCGTTTACCTGGTTTTGGAATTCCGATCGTCGAGGGGATGTCCGTCAGCCTGAAATGCGAGGTGGACAGCAATCCAGCCAGCACTCCAATTTGGCAGCGTGGTAAGTGGCGAGTCGACAGAAAAAAAAAAACGGAAAAAAAGGAACAGCATATGACGTTGCTTTTAATTTGCCGAACGAACGCGGATTTGCATGAAAATTAATAAAACCGGAGATTCAGATCCACGACTTTGAAAATGTTCCGCAGGAGGAACAACGTTCGGAAATATTGAATTACTTAAATGTGTCATTCTTCTCTCAAAGTTACACGGCATTATGCGAAAGTGAAAGAAAGTATGTCATCTTTAACATTCACTTCTCTTAGCCGAGCATCCGCTTGAACTTTAATTACGTTCGGGCGTTGGAAAATTTTCATTAGTTCTTAGCTTTCGAATGACGTTTGCCATCAAGCGAGATTCTTTGTTCGCACTGCGTTACTCTGCAGAATGTTGATCGCGCATGTTCGTTTATGTTGAGTACATCTAATATTAAAATAGAAATATCGATCAGATAAATCCGCGTATTTTTCTTTTTCCTTTTTTTTTGTGTAGGAACGTTTGGAAGAAATGATAATTCTGTACAAATAAACGTTAAGTTAACGCCGGCTGTCCCGTTGATATCTTAATTTTCATCGCTAACGCCGCGTTCCCGCGTGCGGAGTTTCCGCGAGAACTCTCAAAGCCGATAATCGCATTACACGTATCACGTTATATTTTATCTTACATTTAAAGTCCGCCGCTTGAGTGGCGTAGCGATTAACTCCTCTCGGCGGGAGGAATGTTATCCGTATATTTTCGTGGCTGGTAATTTTTGGCGATTTAAATATACCCGGTAATGAGATTTTTAATGAGTTGCTGCCGCTCAAGATAGCTCTTTTCGCCCGAAATATTTTCCAAGCGAATCCCGACGGCCCTTCATTTACGTTGCCGGTAAACACACGTTCTGATTAAGAGAACGAACTGTCGAGAGCAATCTGACGTTTTTCCTCGGTGGGAGTTCCGTATGCGCCGGAAAGGAAGTGCGGGAAACCCGACACGTGCCGTATAAGTGCATATTTAAAAATGGAAATGTCGATGTGCGCTCTTCACCATCGCCGAAAGCAGCACTTATACGGGATACGTTTCCGTATTATCGGTGAAGACTTAACTGACTGATAGAATTTCACGGAGACATCGAAGTTTCAGCCCTTTGTGCTCCTATGTCGAATCTACATTACCGCTCGAAAGTTTGAGGCACTTTGTAATTCTTCTTCCAACCATCGGCCGGAATAGAAATGTACTTTTAGTCGGTTTGATTAAAAAACTAGTAGCTAACTTATATGGGGTATATTAAATTTTCTAACTCGTTATTAGTTCGTTACCGGCCGTACTTACGTTACTGGTTCATCTTATTTTTATTCACTACAAATGTAGAATCGATTTTGTGGTGTAGCTGTTTTCTAACTACACGTCAAATATGATAAAATAGATGCCACTGTCTATTCTAAAATATACAGCCTAAGCTGCTTTACATTCACCATTAGCATTTAAAAATGAAATGGCAAATCAAAATTGAGAAAGCACGTTATTCAAAAATACCAAGAAAGCGGAAGTAAACGTCGCTGCCTGGTAACTAGTTACGACTTTTTATCTCGTAATCGTAATTTCCTTTAATTATCAACTAACCTATTTATCTTAAATTATATTATTAGAATTGTGAAATATTGAATTTAACTTGCTATTTTAGCTGCTACTGTGTTGTAGAATTAAAAATTAATATAGGGCCAAAATTTCGGCAAATTTCCGCAGATCGATTGAGAAGAAAAGTCGAAAACAATTCGGACCGTGAAGAGTTAATAAATGCAAAACTAGAACTAATCGTTTTCGAAGTACTGGACTTTGTATTTTGCAAACTACCTTTTATCGACATTCTATCGCCTCGATCCGCAGTAATAACATCGATCTCATTACGATAGAAAGGACGAAGGAACGAAACCAGGCTATTCTGTTTTAAATGACAGAGAACGCGTCGTGCGGGGAGTTTCTCGACTTAAATCTATCGCAACGTTAGCCTGCAGCCGTCCTCCGAGTCGGCGATAAAAGACCAACGGAGACGCGCGCAGGACCGCGCGCCAAGAAGATTGGTTTTCGTTTCATGTCTCTGCGTCGATTCGTTCGCGAGTTACTGCCTTTTAAAGTTTCGGCACGCTCGGTATTAGCGAACGCTGTACGGGTGTGAGAGAGACCGACGACCACGTGCTCGATCGACCGCGTGGTTGGACCGCGTGGGCGATCAGCTGATGCGGTTGGTGGTGGGGGCAAGGCCCTAATGTTTTCGTATAGCGGCGTCGTGTATGCCATACTATTTACTAGATCGAGAGTTACACGATTTCCAACCTTATACAGCATACGCATAAGGCTTAAAATCGCATAAGTAATATACAATGTGAGGCAATAGCTACTAGCATCTTGAATATCTTTGAAAAATAAAAATATTTACATTTACCGAAGGTGCTCGAAGTAATAATCATTGGTAAAAATATAATTATATAGATATAAGTAATTCTAGTTATAATTATGGTAAGGTATATACATACATACATGTATATATATATATATATATATATACGGGGTGAGACAATAACTACTATATTGTTAATGCAGTGCTGCAGTAAATCATTAAATTTATATATCTTAAATTTTTCAATTCAAGACGGTGTAACATTTATTGTCTCACCCTGTATGTGTATGCATATGCCTTACCATTATAATTACAATTACTTATAATTATATTTGTAATTATATGAAACTGTTCGTAATTATAACTTATAATTATATATTCATAATTATACTTTCTCTTATAATTATAACTTGTAATTATTTTGCGTAACACAAAATTATGTATTCGCTTTTGCGTTATAAAATTGAACAAATTCGCCGACTTCAATTCGGCGAGACGCATCGTCGAGTCAATCGAGAGCGCGATTCAATATAATCGTCGATATCTCCCCTTCTAAGGCATTCAGTGACTTGAAATAACCCGTTGACAGCTGAGACTTTAACACTTCCGACAAACGTGCAGTCGCTTTTCTTCGGAATACGATTTAATTGGTAAGATTAGATTATCGCGATAGAAAATATCGTCTGTCTTCGAGTTGAAATCTATCTATCTATAAAGGGAATTAAAGAGGAATGTATATAACGGGCGATTAATAAAGATAAGCAATAGTGGGAGTGACTTTCATATTTCGAGATTTCTAGAAACAAATTTGCAGTCAGCGATATAAACGCAATACAACACCATTTATATCCCTTTATATCCTTTATACACCTTTTATATCCCAATGAACACCAATTAACAATAACATAATATCTATGTCGAAATTTCCCACCAATAATGTAAGCGCGATATAACCCGCGTGTTATGCAACAATTACATTGTTGAGTAAGAAATTACAACACCGATGTTACGTTACTGTTAGTGTTCACTGGGATCGCATTTACATTGTTGAGTGCGGAGTTACAACATAGATGCTATGTAAACGATGCTCGGTGTCGACTGAGTATAAATCGAACTGTACGTTATGTAAGTGTAGCCGCTATCGCCGTCGCGTGGTCGGACTCAAGTGGAGCCTGATTGCCGGTAAATTTGATCGTCATAATATTGATGTAATTATCATTCGTCGACCCTCGTATTCACGCTTTGAAGGAGGTGTACTTCTAATGTATACACCCACAACACACTATATACGTACGCAGACTGCCGGTGCTGCTGCTGCAGACGGCGAGTTGCAGGCGCACGTGCATTATTTCGCCCAACTCCCCGTTCCTGCAACTAGGAAACGCGTCACGTTGTAGACACGTTAGCGCGGGCACGTGTAACGGCAACGTGAGCATAATTTAATCACTGTAAACAGGCACTTGGACGGGGTAGAATCTGATGCACATGACCCATCGCGGCGTAATAACGGCTGCGTAATAACTCTAAAGGAGATGTAACCTACTTGTAAACGCGTGTGTCGATGCATCGACGACAAGCGCGACACTGTTGCAGTTGAATCATCTTGTCTCGGCTTTTCAAGTGAAATCATTTCGTCTGACTGCGTCCCGATCTTAATTTCCGCTTAATTAAACCCTCGTCGCGAGTGATATGTCTAACGCACGTTGCATGCCCGGGAGCGGATTTGAAGTTCGGTATTCATACGATTTCCGTCAACCTTGTCCTCTCGAGATTTCCGGAGATCTTGGATTAGAGAATCCGTGGTGAGGCGAGAGGAAGAGAGAGAGAGAGAGAGAGAGAGAGAGAAAGAGAGGAAAGACGGGAAGAAAGGTTGGTTAGATAGATAGGTAGGTAGGTGAGGTACATCCCGTAATCACATTATTACGTAGCGTAACGGGCGTGACAAGTCTAGCACGCAGACGCCGGCGAATCGGGACAATGGACAATCCACACCGCTGGTCCCTTTCATCCCGGCAATTCTCGCCGGCGCTTTCATTCGGCTTCGATAGACAGGTGTACGCGCGCTCGATATTATCCCCGTCTCGATGCACTCCCAGTTCGGCCGCGCCTATTTCCGCATTGTAAATTTCGTGTCGGCATTAAAGGGGATTCGCGTTGCGCCGCGCTCGCACGCGCGAACAGCTCGAGGAAGCTGTTACGCGGTGCGTGATACCTCCAGTAGCACGTTGCTCCATCTAATCTGGCCTATTGGCCGACACTCGTCGGTGAGAAAAAGGGGACGACCGCTGTATCGGATGTATCGGTGACGTGACACGAGTCACGATACCTTCATTCAATGGGAACGAGAAAGTCCCACGTTGCTGTGAATTAATACCCACGTTAACGACACACAGCAGACTCGCAAACCGATCGGGCGGAAGTATCTCGGAAAAATCCTGTCTGCGTGCGAACTTATTCGGGAAACGATGGGAAACGTTGGGTTCAAACAAGGAGCAGAAACAGTGCGTTAGATTCCGCGGGAGGAATTCCAAAAAAAGACAGAACGTAGTTTCGTCCGTTCGTTGTCGGAGTGGAAATATTTTCTCGCGATTTTTAATATAAATTATTGCGGACGGGCGATACGA